GCAATTTACAGCACAATAAAGTGTTGCTTCCATATATTCTCTGCTGGAACAAACCCCATGCCTTCTTTAAGCATGGCTCCTGATAGCACTTTTAGGGAATGCAGAACATGGAGGCTTTTCTCAACTGGGTTGCAGGGGAGAGCTGCTGGGCGTGTTCCTGGATGGGTTATCAGTGTGTTCAAGGGGGAGGAACAGAAAGCAATACAAAGGACTATTCAGTATCTTAGCTATAAATCCTCGTGGGAGAGAGACCTGTAATCGTAACTTTAGGAACACTCTTCCTCCCCTGACGATGTTGAGGAAACCTAGAGAACTTTAGCAGTTGGGTTACCAGTTTATAGAAGAACTCTCAGCCATCAGCACTCTGAGAAGGGTAGGTCTAACAAACAACTTAACGGCCTACCATGGAGAAAACACTGGCTCCAAAAAATAAATACTTGTTAGCAATTAAACAGTCAGATATTGTGGACAGACTGTGTCCCAGCCCCCGCCCCAGCAATACCTCTCCCACCTCTGTTTGCAGTATTTTAACTGCAAGGCCCAGAAAGCTGATACAAGGACCTGCAGATTCCATGTCCAAGGATGTGGAGAGATGACTACTAGCAATTATTTTGTGGAAGGCATGTGGAAGGCAGCCATGGTCCAGTGGCCTGACTTAAAACAGCACATCTCATGCTTCCAGTGACTGATGACCTGCTTCCACTTGAAACTTGTGTTCAGCTTGGGCTCCTCATGACAATAAGGACTTTGAGGAGCTGGAGTGTGTCCAGAGAAGGGAAGGGAGCTGGGAAGGGGTCTGGAGCACAGGTCTGATCAGGAGTGGCTGAGGGAGCTGGGGGGGCTCTGCCTGGCAAAAAGGAGGCTCAGGGGGGACCTTCTCACTCTCTACAACTCCCTGACAGGAGGTCATAGCTGTGTAGGGGTCAGGCTCCTCTCCCAGATAACAAGCATCAGGACATGATGAAATGGTGTCAAGTTGTGCCAGGAGAGGTCTAGATTGAATACTATGAAAATTTTCTTCATTGAAAGGCTGGTCAGACATTGGAATAGGCTGCCCAGGGCAGTGGTGAAATCACAGCCTCTGGAAGTGTTCAAAAAACATGTGGGTGTGGTGCTTAGAGACATGGTTTAGAGAATAGGATGGAGGGGTAAAACTGATAGATCTTAACAGAGGTCTGTGTGCTGGGTATCCATTTTTCTACAGTTAAAAACAAAGAAAGAACCCCCCATGATAAACAATTGTATGTCTGTGTTCAGAAAAAAAAAAAAGAGGGAGAGAGTCCCCTGCACACAGCAGGCCAGGTAACTGCATGGTGCCTGTTATCCTTCAGGTCTAGACTCTCTTGATAAAGCCTGTTAGATGTTAGTGAAGAACAAGAAAGTTTCTTTGGAACAAACCTCAGAAAAACAGCTTCCATCTTACAACTTTGGAGGGAGAAAATTGTGCATATGTGCTGATAACTTGAGGGGGTTTAAAACGTGCCGTTTAATATTGTATTGTACCATGTCATGTCAGCTATTTCTCTTGACATATATAAAAGCACACACATTAGAGTATATTTCCTTCCTTAGTTTACATAATCAGAACACCTTTTCCTTTCCTGGTAAAGAATCCCTCCTTTATTTTTCAGCTTCTCTGTTTTGGCCACAGCCACCTCATGACTTCACAGCCCGATCACCCTGTGAAATCTGTTTTGGTTCCACTAAAACACAGTAGAAACAACAGCAGACTAAAAAGGAATAGCAATTAACAATTTCTCCTTCCAGCGACTCTTCCAGGACACAGGAGCTGCTGAGCTGGTTAATAACAGCACTGAAACTTGTTCTTGGTAACCACCCCGTGGGCCTGCCTTGACAGGCCACAGTTGGATAATTCAACAGAAGGCATCAAAATCACTTGTGTCTGCTACAGCAACCCCAGGTGTGCCAAATACCACTCTTCTCCTTCCAGAAACAACACCTTGCTTCTGTGCAAGTGTCCTGAGAGGTCACAAAAGGAATGATGTGCTTCAATGTGCTTCCAACTGATGTGGGCCAACATCTTGTTTCAACCCACCACTGCTGCCAGGAGCATCTCAAGGGGAGCTGGAACTCGACCACCCTCCTTGTGCCACTACTAAGGACTGAACAGATTCTTTCAAAAAAGTCCTAGCAACAGTAAAGCTATCCTGTCAGACAGCTACAAAACAGCAGATAAAAATGTTTGCAGCCAGCCCTGACAAGTAAATCTTCCTTGAAAATAAAGCAGAGATTCAGCCTCAATTGATTTCCTGTAGGGTATTTCCTGTGGGGTTCTGTTTTGCTTCCTTCAGGTTTTGACAGGAAGAGCCCTCTGTCTGGCCAGAGGGACACACAGACAAGCACTTTCCACATCCTCCCACTTGCTTGGATCAAATCCAGAACGGTTGCAATGGAAGTAAAGTCTCCTGTTCCCCCAGACATCCTGCAAGTCAGTGCTCTTGATAGGCACTAACACAGGGCTTCCAAAACACACACAATAAAGACTAGGTCTGTCCACAAACATTCTCTACAAGAAGATGGAGGAGAGCTACAGTAATTTTTCTTTCACCAGCAGTCAGAAAAAAAATGAAGGAAGGAATTTCCACTCTGCAGTATAAAACAGTAGATCATATTCCACCTTCATCCCCAACACTTTCAGACTACAGCAGCCTTTTTTCCAGCACAGTATCTCCTTGGACTAATATCAACATAAAGCTTTCACCAGGAGACAGGCTGAAGCTAAGCATGGCACCAGGGACTGAGGAAAACCACACTGCTCTTCTTGCTAACTAGCTTACTACAGCCACATGTTATCCTTGACTTCTCTCACACAAAGCTTTCCAATTAAATTCACTTTTTGACCTATACATTATCACAAGAGGCCTGTGCATACCCTCCTGCTTCCACTTACTGGACAGCAATGGTGAAACAGTGACTGTTTGAACCACTTTCTGATGCACCATATGAGAAAAGCCAAGTCCCTCGAGTTGCTCCCGTTGGCTTGGCTGTTTTGTGGGCCATGAGGAGGCCAGTACAGGTTCTGTTCACATACCCTGCCTCACTGTTCCCTACCAGTAATTATGAAAGGCAAATCAAAACAGAATGCAACACTCAAATGGGGCATCTTCAGAGGAAAAGAATCCCAAACCACACACGGTCAACTGGTCCAGATGTTTTCATTTTAACACTAAAGCTTTCATGCCACTTCTTTTTTCCTTCTCGCCCCTTTGCCCCACCCCAGTTTACTGGCAGGAGCAGAAACAGTGAGGCTAAAAAGGAGCATGAATACATGTAGCAAGCACCATGACACAATGCAATAGGCAGAGGAACCCCTAACTGCATGGTTCCAGTTGTTCATCACATTATATTTTGATTTTTATTTTTCTTTAACTGAGCTTAGTTTCCATTCAAAGTTTGGAATCAGTCACAGCCAGTTAAATTATCATCAGCCTTTATTTCTAGTCAAGTGACTAAATGCCTCTTCCCCCCTTCAACAGAGAGAAGCTTAAAAAAAATCAGAATCTTCTCAAGAAACCTGCCATCACCCACTTCTCCTCTTCCTGCACTCTTCCATCCTCACTGGGGTCTTTGTGCAAAAGGCTGTATGGGGGAGGTGGAAGGACAAAGCACAAGACAAAACCTACTTTGAAACCTTGCAAAGGGCTCATCTCAGGGCTGCATAAAGCAAAATGTAGCTCCCAGCAAAGGTGACTGGAATGTGGCAGTATCTGGAAGGAAACATCACCTCCAGCTGCAGTGGCACTGGGAGCAGACTGGAACTCTGCTGCTCAGCACTCTTTGAGCAGGGTCTGGAATCCCTCAGAGACACCAGGCTGCCTCTGGGGTGGGAAGGTTTTCTGTTAAGCCAGTCTTAAAGGTCAGGAAATGTAGACAAGAGTTGTGTGTGTTTGCAGGAACTGGTTCCCTGTCTAATGACAAAGCCTGATTCCAGTTCTCTTATCCCACAGCCAGGACCCAGGAAGTTAAAGGAGAAGCTGACTGGCCTGTTTGATCACCTGTGACAGTTTGCACCAGGAATCTTCTCTGTCATACCCCAACGAGAGGCACTAGGGAACTACCACATCTCCACAGAAGTAGCCCACATTTCCTCTCTTGTTTTATCACCAAATATTATCCATGTATTTGTTACTATACAAAGAAGAAATTACACGAGACACTTCCAGCTGTGCTCACTTGGAGTAAGTTGAGATTCAGACTCTTGGATAACCTCCCCTCAGGGCAGGGGAGCCCAGTCAATTAGCTCAGGACTAGACCAGACTAGTCCCCAGTGCTTCAAAGGAAGGTGCAAGAAAGCTCAGGAGTAATAATTGCTGACTGTTTAATCCATCCATCTGTGGTTTACAGTCTCTGTAGCTTTTACCACTGTGAACTGAAGCAATGGTTTGAGCTCTCAAAACAATCTTTTCTGCACCAGTGCCACAGTGACTTGTGCTGAGCTACAGATTTTTTAAGTCATTAAACTTTATAAGTCAATTTCTTAGCGATTATTTCCCCTTAAAAATATGAGGTTTCAATAGGAAAACAAAAAAAAAGGTCAAAGCTACTTTGAGGTAGTAAGTTAAGCAACCTACGTAAAAGTAAAAGCTGTCACTTCATGAGAGAAAACACAAGACTGTAAACTTTACTGTCAGTCTCTTTATGCAATTCAGTGTTTGCTATGATCCCACACTCTCAGAAGTTAGGGTGGAAAAACTGATATAAAGGGAAATTATGCCACAAATATTCTGCAGCAAGAAAATCTGCACTGGGAGTGAGGCAGAAAAAGTACCTCCAAGGATCCCTGTGCTTGGCCTAAACAGGTTCCTCTGCTTTTTAAGGCAGCAGTTCTGGGACTGAGGGAACTGATGTGCAGTATCCACAGTACCAGCATTGCTAAAACAAGCAGCCACGTGTCTGTCAAATCACCTTTCAGCTCAAGAATTTTCCTTTTTTTGTGTAACAATGCAAGCTGTGGTGCACCCCTTCACACCTTCGCTCACCTCCTTCAGTTCCTGCGAGACGGAATTAAGGCGTTCGTTTTCAGACTGTGTGTTGGCAAGGACATTTCTGATCTGCTTCAGTTCCGTCTGCAACTCCATAACCTTCTTCATGTAGTATTCTTCTTTGGTAGCTGATTCCTGGATCAAGGTCTCCTCTCTGCTCTCTCCATCTGCTGCTACCTTCTTGTGGTTGGTATGGGCCTGTCCAAAAGCCTAGAGGACAGTCAGAGAGAACACATCTTTTATTAGTAAACCTAGAAGTTTGCATAAGTAACTTCAGTTTTTAATAGTTGAAAATATTTGCCCTCATACATTTCTTTGATGCAAAGGAATGTAACCTTTTCCTACACTCTCCTCTTCTGGGATCAGACCTCCAAATGCTATTAAGTGGCCAACACTGGGCTCGTGAAAATAAACCGCAGCACCGGAATTATCCATTATCCAAAATCCAAGGTGTTTTGTGATGCACAGAATGCTCACATAGAACCTTTGTGGGAGGGAACAGCGATGTACTGACTGTTAAAACAAGACTGGTTTTCAACCAGATGACAGCAAGATGACCAGACACTGCTGCACGCGCGTGTTCTCTACGGCAGGGTCAGACTCGCTTCTGCAAAACCGGAATCCCTGTGAACACATTCGGTATTAGCAGCCTGTTCCACGCTTACTCGCCCTGACACAGCTCCCTGCAGCTGCTCATGGCTGAGGATTACAGCCCCCTCCCACCTGGGGTCAGCAGGGCTGCTCCAGAACCAGGCTAAGCCCGCGGGGTCACGCTGGCTGAAGTAGGTCAGCGGACGCTCCCGCGGCCGGCTGCGCTCCCTGCTCCGAGATGTCATCTCCAGCAGCGTGCCAGCAAAGGCACTTAGAGCCAGGTCACAGATCCAACACCTTCAGCACAGTCTGGCTCTGCCTAGACCTGACATTGCCGTTATTTTGCCTTCTCCTGGCTTCTTTTTTGGGGGTTTTTATTTTGCTGGAAACACTTGTAGGTGACGGTCCCCGCAGCAGCCCACATGTGGGGAACCCTGCTGCGGGGACAGCCATGGGCGAGCTCCTTCCCACAGCCCCTGGCAGATGTAGAGCAGAGCTGACCACTTTCAGCAGTTTTATTTGTAACACACTGCCTGGCAGATGGGCCAAAATCAATGAGATTACAAATGACATCTTTCAAGTGCTGCACATGCATTCGTCACAATCCAACCCAAGGCCTATTTGGAGCTTTCAGGTGCCACGAGATGTTTTGGGATGCCACTGCCCATGTGGCAAGTTTTCATGGCCAGCATTAATATCAGGCCAGGTCAAGGACAGAGCTGCATCTCAAACTCCTTGTCTAATCATGCATTTTCAATTGATCATCTTTTGACAGCTCTTCAGAAAAAATACTGTCAGTGCAGGAAAAAAAAAAGTCTGCTTTGAAGAGAAACAGATTTCAGTATTTTATTACTTCTGTATATTAGAGCAGGCATATTAATAGCACAGAAACTACTGTCTATACCAGGGCTGAAACAGCTGATCAAATATGCTAGCTCTGTCTATGTTTAAAGACACCCAGATATTGCCCCATCAGACTAAATTTTATTTCAGATAAGCAAATGTCCATTGAAGAAATTCTAGCCAGATTCACCAAGATGACCCAAGGGAAATAAAAAGCAACACATTTCCGACAGAAAGTAAAGCACCATCTGTGCAAGTCCTTGTCAAATGAGTTTCAACAAAGCAGCTTAAAAGCCTAATACCCAAGATCTCCATAAATGTTAAAGGGATAACAAAAATCATGCCAGCTTCTCAAATACACTATCTTTTTTTCCCCCATAACAAATCAAGATCCACCCTTTACAGACCAGCATGTATGACAAATTGCTGGCACGGAGGAAGGGACTCTGGGCACCTCTTTGCCCAGTGAAGTGGCACCCTTTGCTTGCCTGCAGGATGCCAACAAGCACATGGAAGCCCAGCACACTCAAAGCCACAGCTGATCAGCCAGACCACAGGGTCCGGGCATGATTCCACCGAGGAGCTCAGGAACGCCACTAAGGGAAGGATTCTTGGGAATAATGACTCATTTGCTCTTAAAACTTCTGAGGCAGAGGTTGGGCCTCAGGTTCCTCTAACAGCTGAGAAAGAGAGTGTCATCATTTTGCCCAAGTCACAATTGACAGGGAGTATTTTAACACAGAAACTGCCACAGCGGATGAGACTGGGCGCTTTTTTAAATCCAATATCCTGTCTCCTACACAGTCTAATGCCAGATGCTTCAGAGAAAGGTGCAAGAATCCACTCAATCTCCCAGAGTTGGGGATTGCCTTAAGCCTTGATGTGGAATACTTAATGTAAATTTGGAAGAGTTATTAACATTGAGTTACCCATGTAAAATATCTCTTTATTTTTCGCAGGTTTATGCATTTTTTTTGCCTCAACAAAATCCTACAACAATAAATTCTGTATTTAAAATCCTACCCTTACCTGATGGGTTTTTGTCAGTTTACAAGTTTTCATAAAAGAGAACATATTTTTGTTCAGAGGCTTGAAGGTATGTTGTTAATTCCATGGTCTGCTGTCAACCATTCACTGTTTTTGAGACTTCCATCACAACAGACTACGTAGAACAGGAAACTTTTAACAAAATTGTGCAAAATTACAGGGCAATGCAATTACTTGCCATGGCTACAGCTCGGACCTGTTTTAAATCAAGCTGTTAAAAGGAAAACTGACTTTTTACTGCTATGCATGAAACTCCTAAACCTTCACACATCCCCAAGTCCAGCATCTACCCATCCACTTTTGCTTTAACATTACCTAAAACACAATATCAAGTGACTATCAACGTTCTTATCTTCCAGATTTCCCAAGGTCAGGGCAAAAGCAGTATCAAGCTGCCATCCCCCACCAGCCACACCAGTCCATGGGGTCCTTCTCCTCTCCTCCCCCAAAACCACTAGGGAATGCTGCCCAAAAGCCAATTATCCATGGGAAATCTACCATAATGAGCTGATAAAGGTTTACCAAAACTAGTGTCATTCACCAAAATGCCATTAAATCAGCTTTTGTGTTTGCACCATTTCTTACATCAGCAGACTCAAAGCATGTAGAAAACACTGTGCTATCACAGCTCAGAAAATCTCATTGCTAAAAAATCAAACAATTTCTACAGTTTTAATCTTCAGTCAATGGGGTCTTAAAATAAATCTCAAGTTCTCTCCCTGACAGCTGCAGAAACAACAATAACCATAACCCCCGTTCCCTGTCTCCCTGCACCACTGGAGGGAGGAGGTAGAACTTGGAAGGAAGGAGGGGTGGGAAGAAGGTGTTTTTAAGATCATTTTACTTCTCAGTCTCCTGCTCTGATCCTGTTAGTAATAAATTTAATTAACATCCCCACTTTGAGGCTGTTTTGCCCGTGATGGTGATATAAAAATCACAAGTCCCTTTGCAGATGTTTCTTGCTATTGATATTGAATTTTGAGAATGTTTCTCTGCTTATTCCACAAATGTGGTATGACAACAAAAAGCAAAGAGAGACTTAAAAAAAAAAAAGTTTAAGATCAATATGTCAATCCTGCCAGTTATCTGTAACTGAAAATGAATTGTGGACACTAGAACTATAACTGTAATGAAACAGAAATGTTAGCTTCAGGTGAATGTTTAAACACAAATCCTTCAACTGAAGAAGAGTCAAGATGTCAGTTACGGATTTGCAGTAAAGCAATTAACATTTTATATCCAGCTTGGAATTAAAGTTATGAACATTTCTGGAGCGACAACAAATTTGCTTTTCTCAAATGCCTAGCAGATTAAAAAAAAAAAAAAAAAGGAAGATACAAGTATTTCAATAAAAATATAAAGAATAAACCATAGTACATTGCTACAAGGAAGGCAAAGTTGTTAAAGTTTCAGGCATTGGGGCTTAAGCTGGTCTCTAGTCTGGAAGGATTGCTACCTTGTGCTGGTAGCTTAATCCTGCACCTTCCCAATGCCTTTTTTCAGATACTGGTCACTGGTGGAAACTGCTGGACTGCAGAGATGACAGATCTGATTCAACATGGCAATTTATTCGTATTCCTTTACCGCCTTCCACACTCAGCAGCGACCTTGGCTTCTTCTGGCAGTGACCAGCTGCTCTTTAAATCTCATACCCAAATGACATGCAGGGAAAAAAACAGGCAGAAGAGAGCATGAGACAAGAAATGCTTTAACCAAGTGACCCACCCTACAGACAGGTCCACAGAGACAACAGAATCAGCTGCATGAGAAGTCTCCTGCTCGGCCTCCACCTCTGCTCAGCCCCCACCTCTGCTCAGCCTCCAGCCCCAACCCTCATTCCTCCTTCCCCTTCCTCTCCCTCATTTTGTGATTTGGGGGAGTTTAATCTGTACAGGACAGCAGTTTTACCTTTAGAAGTGCAGGCTGCAGCTTCTCTGAAGAGCTGTGTGAAACTTAATTTGCTACAGGAGTTTAAATATGCCTCTTAATTTTTTTGGAAAAGCATTCCTCATCGGGAGAGCTGGCCAGGTCACGGACAAGCTCCAAGTACCTTTGCAAGCAGTTTTCAGATGGCACCATGGAACACTGGGATTTTCCTGCCCCTATGTGAAAATTCCACGTTTTCATATTTTGTTCCTAGCAATTTCCTTTTAATTATCAATATCTCTCATCAACATTAAACTAATCAGGATATGTTAATATGCATCAGAAGATTAATTAGCACTAAAAGTCAATCGCATTTTTGTTCATGTTTCTGCACTGTCAATCTGAATTTAATTACAAAGCTTGAGCACCAGTTCAGCTCCTAGTTCCTTCTGCTTATCTGATTCAAAATATGAGATGTTTTCCGTGGCTTCACCAAGCGTTGCACATTTTCCAAAATAACAAATTCATCACGACCAAAATGACCTAACAAAGTAATACCAACATGCACAAAAACGCTGCTCTGAAGAGACTGGCACATCTTTACAGGGAGCAAGGAATTTAATATAGGAAAGTATATTCCTCTTGTGCATTGCACTCATATATTTTCGTTTTAAATTTTCTTGTAAAGTGGCTATTCTTGCATTCTTCAGTTAGCAGACCAGCGCTGTGACTAAACAGTTTCTCAGCAAAGTCCTTAAATGAACGCACCAGGCTTGGATTGCAGTAAGACACAGGCATTTTCATGTGCTCCACTAAACATCCTAATCCTTTAAGCATGACCTAACCTTCCTCTCCCACTGACT